CAGTATGTGGCATGGATGTTTGATGTGGCATATGGATCCCAATTTATCCAAATATAACTAACTTTATAAATAACTTTATCCCCTTTTTAACTCTTTGTTATTTCATATCTTGGATGGGAGAACAGGCAAAAGCTGGAGCTCTGAAACATAAGAAAGAGAGAACTAATAACATCCATAACAGAAATAAACAAAATAAAAATATGGAAGAAAAATGTAGGGAGATGTCAGTGAGATGCCAGGTCGCTGTATATGAAGTGTTTCCTAAAGGGTTAATATTTTAAAACTAGTTATGTTTGATGTTATTATATTGTGAGCCAACTGTCTCCAAGTAATTTCCCTTGAGATTCAATTACGTTTGTCTAAGTCTAAGATCAAATAACGACGGTAGATGCCCTCATTATTTTTGCTGGATAAGGGAACAGTTATGAGTTCTAATTTTGGCCAATACATCAATCCATGAACTTAAAACACTTTTTAGTGGCCATTGTAACCAGTGAACACCCATGAATGAACGATACCTTTATTAGAGCCACAGTGGGGAAATTACAAACAGCAATTTCTCTTTGCTAAATAACATAAATGTGTAATTGGGCAAACGAATCAAATCAGCTCTTTTACTTTTTTGTTCAAAACAAACAAAAATATGATTGATTTTGATCCAACCAGGTGTGTACATGCCAGGCTGTCAAATTAATTTCATTACAATTTTAATTTTCACTTCTGTGCACATCCAGATGTTGATTCCCTTGTTGTTGATGACGTTTCCTTGGCAACCAGGGCATTGAGTGTCTGATCGTCTGAGGGTGTCGAGGTGGTGAGAGCAGGTGCAAAGACACATTTCCACGCTTGGGCTTTGTCACACTTCCTGCAGCCCACTCTAGTAACTAAACTTTATATAATTACAACAATCTGTGCGCTGAGACTGCGTGGAATCTGATTGCCAATGGTAACGTTCACAGTGAGACTCCTGGTGAGATAGAAGGCTTCCTCTTTCAATTTTACGAGATCTCTCAACTTTTCCTCACGTACTGCTTTTTTTTTTTATCCCATCAGTGGGGCATACATTTCTATTCCGGGGAAAAACAGAGCTGGTAATATCCAATTTACCGAAAGCAGTGGAGATGGTTTCAGTGGCAGTATAATAACATGCTACACAGAGCGTGGCATTATGGAGTATGAATAAAAAAGGCATTTATGCTACAAAAAAATCTATTGAAAATCATCACCATCGTCACTCATCAGAGGAAATCAAGGCAATTAGAGACACTTTGATGCAAATGGATCAACGTGGAAACACATTCAGTTGACACCAAAGCCCCTGGAAGTCACCAGAATAGGCCTTTTTCACTTTGAATAGTTAGTGTTGATTAAAATTGCTTTTTTCATCCTTGAAAATAAAAAAAAGATCTTGCAAGGTTTGGAAAGAAGGAATGGTACATGAACGTTTCTTCGGTGATGTGAAAAATAGTTTGTCCATGATGAAAAAGGGCAAAAGGGGTTCAATTTATTACTGTTTCAAGAAATTGTGAGTAATGTCCTGGGGTGGTATAGAGTACGTATACAGCATTAATGGTGGAGTAGTAACTTAAAAAACAAAAAAAACAATGTAATTCAATGTATGTAACAAGTTCCTCGCCCTTTAAAACCATTTGGCTCAATCACTAGTTTTCATATGCATGTATTTTTGACCTCTGTCACATCAGAGACCATCGGCCCTCACTCAGCCAATCAGCTCTCAGTACCATTGTGGAGACACTTCCCTGTTAACATCAGTGTCTCGTTTATCTTGTGTCCAAACGTATTTTCATCCAAAGACATCGCTATGTGCTATGAGCTGTGCTTCACTCAATCCCTCCCAGTGACTTCTAGACATGTCTCCTCTTGGAAAAGCTCTGAACCAGGGCCAGTCTTGTTATTGCTCGCCGCCACATTCTAGTGCGTGTTTGTGAGAAGCTAATGAGTGCTAAAACACAACTGCAGCTCACATGAATTTGTGATCTTAGTGGAAACGAGCCGTGGCACTTCTATTTGATTCATAACTAACATACTGGGATACTTGGTCAATAAAATATCAAGAAACTTTTCATCCTAATTTTATATCATTAACAAACGATCTGCGCAAACTTTAGCTTTGTCAAGTTCAAATATCTTTTTGCAAACATATGTAGCACAATTAGAGTTTGATTTTAATGAAGTATGAGTGTTCTGAATTTCTGTGCACTACATGAAAGAATCAGTACTTGAATAAATTTCAAACTAGTGAATTATTGCTAAAGAGCATGGGGTCAAAGTCAAGGTCCCGTGGGCCAGAATGAATTATCTTGGCACCCCGGATGATATTTGATTAGTGTTAGACCCGGTGTTCTGTCGAGTTGGTCTGCCCGTCGAGATGATCTGGCTCAGCTGTTAATGATGTAATGCAAACCTGCGCATGCGCGTCTCACGGCAGCCGAAGCAATCCAAGATGGCGGACACGGAGTCCGCGAATTTCTTTAAAAGTTAAATACGAACAAATTAAGACACGAATGTCACTTTTAATGCAATTTGAGGCGAGATGTTGATGGTTCCACGTTGTGATATGTGTGTTTTAAGAGTAAGAGTTACGTGTAAAGTTTGTTTTAAGCAGTCCACTGCTCCTGTGAAACTACACTGCTGCTGTGTGATCGCAGTCCCTGAGTTGACTGCTGCATACGTCATTTTACTGACGTAGGCCCATGACGCGTCCTGTGACTGGTCGGTCGGGTTGATAATGGAAATAATAAATTAAATTTAATACATGTATCCTACTGTATTCAATATGATTAACAATAGTGTGTTCAAACGGAATATTTAATTAGATTGAGTTTTTTCCCCATTCTGGCGGGTTTCTGCGCATGCGCAAATTAGATTTGGGTTACACTAGCAGTGTAGTTTCACAGGAGCAGTGGACTGCTTAAAACAAACTTTACACGTAACTCTTACTCTTATAACCCACATATCACAACGCGGAACCATCAACATCTTGCCTCAAATTGCATTAAAAGTGACATTCGTGTCTTAATTTGTTTGTATTTTAACTTTTAAAGCAATTCGCGGACTACATGTCCGCCATCTTTGCTTTGGCTGCCGTGAGACACGCAGCGCAGGTTTGCATTACATCATAAACAGCTGAGGCAGACCAACTCGACAGAACACCGGCCCACACAGAGCCATAAGAAAATATTGGTTTACTCAATTCATGTTCAGGACATGTGTTTTCTCTTTGAAGGAAGTTTGTTTTTGTCTGTGAGCCTGTTGAAAAATATTTGCACTTTAAACTACTGAAAGAGCCAAACAAAAATATTGGATTTTTCATTTAATCATGAAATTTTAAAAAGCTGTTTTAGGTCTTAGTTTATTAGGTTATATGCAATAATTTTAATATGCTTTAATAAAAATTGAATTGGCTTGTTGCAAATTATTTTTTTGGCCCTCTGATGTAGCTGATATCCCTGCTGTAGAGTATACCATGTTACTAACTAATACTTCTCTGTTCATATTCATATTGATTATACTTTTCAAACATGAAACATTTTATAGTCTGTTTCTTTGTGTTCAGAAGGACACAAACATCTGTCACAATTTTACTCTTGCAGCGCGAATTTGGACAAAATGAGACCATTCCCTCAAGAGTCAAAAGTACAAATGAGTTAAACAAGAAACCAATGTTTTGGAGAAATTTACTGTCACTGTCAGGCCCATAATGAAGTCCTATAATATTTTACTGACCACAGCTTTTTCCCACCGACTGGCCTCATCTAACGCTACACTGAGTCCTTCAATGTTATACAAGTAGTGCACAATAAAATAGGCGCGTTACAAAGGGAAGCGGCGTGTCTGCATCTTGTTAACATGCTCACAGCGCACACAAGCGTGACCCAATGTAAAGATTTTTCATATGGATTATTATTGTCGCATAAACACAGTGGGAAAGAAATGATTGCTGCTACATCGATACCCTGATTCCCTGTCATGTTAATCTATCAATTAAATACAACAATTATGTGGCCCTTAAACACACGCTTGACTGAGTGGAGTGGTATTGTTTAAAGCATGTCTCCAGGCCTCTGACAGTTTCACATGAGGGCCAGGATTTATCTGTTTTATTACTAAGAACTGAGTCAACCTGTAGTGTGGAATACTTAATCTAATGATGCAGTACCAATACGGACATGACTGATGCTTTTTACATGCACCGAGTAAACAAGAAAAAGCTCCGTTTGAAATGAAACGCATAGACATCAATCACCATGAAGAAGCCATAACCAGCAGTATATACTTACAATGGGAGATTTCACTTACGCAGAAAAAGGCATCAGAAATGTCCACTCTGGGGCCAGCAAAAGTAATATTCATGCAGGTCTAATGCTGTATTTCTTGTCAAATGTAAGGATTATATATAGGCTACACATAATAAAGCTCGAGTACCTAATTTTCAAAACACAGACCAACCAATGTAAACAAATCCATCATACTAGTTCCCAGCTCTCAAATCCGATTGGTTCTCTCACTAGTTTGCACGCATACACATTACACAGCCAATTTGACAAATATTACTATGGTTTTGCATATTTTTATAGTGCTTATAGTGGGACAAATGGCAATAACGCTCTAAATAAATAAGTTATAGATAAGAAAGTCATTGGATTTGTTTAGAAAAACAAACACAATAACTTTGTTGGTAATGAATTGAATGGTATTATGTTGACCTCAATATAAATTCCTGTTTTTCTTCATTTTAATTTGCTTCAACTTGTCTTCACAAACAGCAGCTTGCTTGTTGTTAACATATGCCGGGTATGTATATTTACAATAGGTTTTATGCCACCACATAAAGTAAATAGTGGAAAATCATAAAACTACGTTATGCACACCTCCAACTTTCTGCATTGGACATTTCCAAACAAAAAAGTCAAATGTGGCCTATTTGAAAATCAACTTTTGTAGAACAGCGGCAGTAGCAGTGGTGCAGTGAGCCTTACCTTCAGAGTGGTGGGAGAGTGTGAGCAGGCTGACACATGACGCCCCAATGCCAGAGCCAAACACAGTGATGCGGTTAGAGTCTCCCCCAAAGAAGCCAATGTTTTCACTGATCCACCTCAGGGCCTGGATCTGGTCCAAAAGGCCGTAGTTCCCTTTCGCGGCTTGGTCTCCCGTACTGAGGAATCCTGCAACACACAACATAAAACATATACAGTTACAGTTTAATACACACTCAATGCCACGATACAATACGAGGTGATTTGTCGTGCTCATGGACCACCGGAGGTCTCGTGTATCATAGCGAGATGGACATGATTGAAGGGTTGTGCAAATATTACTGATAATGTGACATGGCTGCTGGTCAAATAGGAGCCATCTGTACCTTATGAGAAATCAATGACCTGTCTCCTGTGTGAACAACCACAATTGAATATATTGACTGAAGAAATGCACTGCGGAAAATCACGAACAGAAATCTGTGTGTATAGAAAGGAGAAATTCATCATACAATATTACCAGCAGCAGACGGTACATTATTAAAAGCATCAGACAAGTTCTTTGCTCTGATACCTTTTGGTGCGCAGGTATTAGATGCATGATTTTGGCCTCTGTCACAGACTTAGGGCAGCCGTTTTTCATACAGAAAACTAAAGTAAGGATACACAGCGTTCTGTTTTTTGCAATCTTACACTATTAAACCATTCATACGGTGGTGGAAAAGGTATATGTATCATTTAAATGGTGAGAAACAGTTCTCTAGGTAAAAAAAGAGTTCTGTTTAGCTGTTTTAGTTTGTTTTTTCATATTTCCTATGAACAAATTGTTTTTTTATTTTGTTTTTAATGCCCTGTGGGATTTAATAGCATATTTTTTTTTAGGTTATGTGATTTGGGGTTGATAAGCGCTTTGTGTTGCCTTGTGTAGGAGGGGTGCACTACAAATACAAGTTGATTGATTGGCTAAGTAAAAAATTAATACATGATCACAAGTAAGTAAGTACTGTAAGTGAGTAACTATATAGAGATAGCTATAGATAACATATTATCATCTCCACCTATACCAATACCAAACGATTCTGCCGGAATATCAAATGGTAATTTTAGCTATCTATGTTAACAACAGCCTGGACGCCTCCCTGGGAAAGGGTTACGGGCATGTCTCACTTGCAGGAGTTCTGTGGGAAACATCCAGGACACATCGGAAGGACTGTGTCTCTTTTGTTATATTTGTTAAAATTTTAAAATTAATTAATTTCTTCAAAAGTGCAGAAGACCGTGTCCGTCAGCTACCCTGGGAACGCCTGTGGATTCCCCCTTGATGAGCTGGAGGAGGTGTGTGCCAATAGTAAAGTCTAAGCGTCACCATTTAGACTGCTGTTCCCCACCTGACCCGGCAACGGATAAAGGGGAAGAAAATGGAAGGATGTATGGATGTTTTACTAGTTGAGTTCTATATCAAGTGCACAGTGTAAACAAGATAATAAATAATAACTAAAAGAAACAAATTCAATGGACTTAACTTGTGTCTAAAGGATTGAACTTTTTTCATAAATTAAATGTGAAACTGACAAAGCATGGAGCCCTGAAACCTTAAAAGGGATGGAGGACTACTAAAATCAATAATAGATGTAAACAAAAAAAATAAATGTGAGAATAATGTAGGGAAACATTTGTGCCAAAGCCAGGTTTGCTTCATCCAACTCTTTTTTAAAACATGTATGTATGAATATACGTTATTTTGTGTTGTAAATGAATGATTGATAGAAAGTGTCCAAACAGCTTGTAGCAATTCTATTACGTTGGCACATACAGGGTTTACAATGCAGAGTCACTTTGAGACCGAACAAGATATAGCTGTTTTCAAAGCAGTTGAATAATTGCAGCCATGGCAACTTGCTAATTGTGGCCACAAACATTTTTATCTCAATTTGGTTGCGATTCATCTTCCAGCCCACGTTGGACGATATAGCATACACACCAACATGAAACTATTCCTGCGTATCTGCTGCTATTGGCCATCTCTCTTGGGCAAATCAGAGCAGGAGTTAACAGACCATCCGCTCTCATGAGGCCCAGCCAGAGTGAATGATGGGTAATCGAGTCACAGGAGAAGATCAAAGCCCAGCAATCTCTGGAGCCCCTATGCTCGACTCTCTGTCCATCACTGCTCTGCGCATATATGTAACGTGGCAGCTAAAGAGCGGTATGTGGAACTATTACAGAGACCCTCCCCCCCACCACCACCTCCGCATGAACTCTTTTCCCATCTTTGTGAAATGTGCATCCAAACATTGCTGCTAACATATCTTTCATGGCCAATGCCTTCATGTACTGAGTAATAGGTTCTATTCTATGGCCTTTAACAAAATAGAACAAAGCTACTGACCAACGAGGAAGACGGAACCAAATGTATTAAACAATCAAGTTAGATTTAAAGTTACAGTTAAATTAAATTAAAAACAGCATCATCTCAGAGGACTTTACAAAATTGATAATTTGCCAACAAGACTTGTAATTTCCCTACTGTGGAACTAATGAAGGTATTATTCACGAATTCAAGTCGCAAACAAGTAGAACACAAGGAGCCATTGGTCCATAGGGAAGTGGGGTGACCATTGCCTGTAAATATGCATACATGTTCTGGATCATCACCGTCCTTAGACCCTTCTGTTTCTGCAGTTTGAGTTTGAAACCACTGAAATCGCCACTTCCCCTTTCCTCTGAGTCCACACCTCTAAATAGACTGGCTCAGGAGATCATTTAAATTCCAGAGGTGCATCCCATTGGTCTTGGTGGAACTGTGGCTATAGACAAGAATTGGGAATATACATCAAATACATTTTCATGATGAATAAAGCACATGCTGTTGTGGGGAAGAGGAAGCTGAGTCGAGAGGCAAAGCTCTCAATATACCCTTCAAGCCAGCTGAGGGGGCTCGGGTATCTGTTTGTAGGTGCCTCCCGAGAGAGGTATGTCCCAACTGGAGGTGGCCCATTAGAAGACCCACAGACTATGCCTCTCAGCTGGCTTGGAAACATATCAGTTTTTTAAAGGAAGTATCCATAAATAAGCAAGTCTGGGTAAGTCAAACTGGATAGATGGATGTCCACATCGTAATCTAGAAGGTAATGAATGCAAGTTTTGATGCAAGGTGTAAGACCAAAATAATACTGAAGCAGGGTGATGCAATATAAACTTTGCTGGATGTGGTCTTTACACTTTAGTTCCAGAAGACCGCACATGACCGCATTACCTGAACCACAACTTGACAACCGCTATCCTAATGGGCAAGCAGGCAGTGATTTTCCCATCTGCAATCCTCCAGAATTTGTTGTTGTGACATATTTCAGTTTGCCAGTTCTTCCAACTTTAGATAAACAAACATTATAAAAACCACATGCTGCTCCGCTGCCTCATTATCCATTTCTGGAATATGTCAAGCTATGGCCATGTGTCCTTTGCCCTCTTTGCCAGCTTTAATGTTGGAATTGTTGCCTTAATAGATGCAAGCATTGTGGCCCTATGCCTCACTTGTTTACCTGCATGATCCTCTGAGCCTGACAAAGACATAGTGGGGATGGTCGGTAACAGATGATGAAGCAAAGCTGTAGACAAATTGTTCAACAGATGGTCTCCCTCAGACGCCTCCCTCATGGAGCCTCACACAGAGAACACGCAGAGGCCAGAGACATACAAGCCATTTTTATGAAAAACCCGGGGTTTTCGACCATCCTTTCCGAGGGCGTCTGTTCCTTTTCGACTGAGCAACTCTGCAATTGACCCTCCTCAAACCCTGCCCTATTTTCTGGAATGAAATAGATAGTAAAAAGGCAAAACTATTATATAACCACTTTTGCACATATGGGTTAGAGGAAGAACATAATAAAACTACACATAAAGCCTAGCGTACATCGACAGAGAAACTGGGGACAACTAGTTGCAAGGCGGCTTTTGGCAACTGAGAGGAGATGGTGGGAGATGATCAGTTGCCGAAATCGGTCGATGTGCGCGCTCTTACAACTGGAGATGATCAGTCGGTCTCCAGTTCCAGTCAGTTGCCCGTGTTCTACTTTTCGGCAACTAGTTGTCCTCAGTTGCCCCAATGTGCACGCTCCATGCGCCGCTCCGACAACGTGTGTGTATTGCGTGTATTGCGAGCCTGCAACAGTTTATGTCAGAAAACACACTGTGGTTGAGGCCAGTTGCTGTCGATGTACGCGCTGTTATTCAAGAGACTGGCCTGCGACTCAGAGTTGCCCGTTTTCGCCAGATTGTCGATGTGTGCGGGGCAGCAACTCAGAGGCGACGGATATAATCAGTTGCCAGTCCGATGTACGCTAGGCTTAAGTCTCACAAGGAAGAATACTTTACATAATGACAGCGTAACCATGGAGCCGTGGGAAGTTCTAAGCAACAAAGATTGGCCTGTTGCACACACTGCTCTTTCCTTTTTAAAGTTGTCCATTTAACATTTATGATGGAAATATTGATTTTGCTCCACGTACATAATACGACTTGTTGTAGTCCATTACATAGCAATACTTGCGCAGTGACTTAAGAAGACTAAAAGTTGGACATTTGTCTTGACTTCTGACTTTGACACGTTCCTATCTTCCCCGTGGTGAAAAGCCCACATTTGGTCCCGGGTTTACATACCAGGGAAGTCTCCTCTTATCTGTCCCATCACTGAAGGACAAGCATCTTTAAGGCATATACTGGCTCACTGACCAAATTGTTCAATCAAATACTGTATGTCAGCAACAAGAAGTGAAATCTGCTGTAAAATAAGTTTATTTAGAATACATATATGAAGGGTTTGTACCTGACAATCCTCCAGATATGACAATGTTTCTTTCCAAGAATGACAAATTTGTGCATTTCTCATTGTTTTGATACGTTGAATACATTCAGCAAAAAATATGCATGCATTCACAGTAATTGCATCATCATAGTAATGAAAATAGTCCACCCAGATGTGACTGTTGTGTCTGTCTTCATGCTTTTTCTATAATATGTAAAAGAAAGCGGTCATTAAAATGTAGCGGCAGAACCCATCCTATCTTAGACAACAAGACCTGCTGCAGGCACCATTTAAAAATACATCTCAAATAGCTGCCGGATATGTTTTAATTGGAAAGGTGACAGAAAGTATTTTCTTTGGAAAGCAATTAAGATAGCAAAGTAAT